CGAAACCCCCATTTTGTGCCCCCTCCCTGTGCGGGCAGCGCTGGCCTTGCCCCGGGACACGGAACCATCCTGCTCCAGCGGAGCAAGCCCTGGTTAAGTTCCCCTGGGTATGCATCGCCCGGGCCAGGGAGAGAGCGGGGGGCAGACCCCAACTGGGGGTGAAGGGGGGACACACACACATGCCTTGTCCCGCTCGGGCGGCAGAGAGCAGCCCCAGTAACCAGCGTCGGGTGGGCAGGGGCTGGGAAGCGCTCTCTCCCGGACTGCAATGCATACATTGGAAAGGAGGGAGGAAAGGGAGAGGAAGAGGAGTATATACCTTCGAGAACTGTCAACCATGCAGAGTGATGGGAGATCCCAATAGAATTACCCGCCAAACATGTATACTCCCCAGCATCCTCAAATGAGACATTCCTTAAGTGAAGGACTTCCATTTCTTTGTCTGTCGTGTTAACGCCAGCCGTCTAGAAGGAAAAATGGAAGCAGAAAAAAAAAACGAAGAAGCAAACGCCATGAGATCTTCTGGGAAGGAGGCCAGAGAGGAGGGAGAGCTCAGTCTCATTTGCCAGACCCCCGGGGAGCAGACAGAGACCACTGCTAGAGAGACCCTCAGGATGACCACTCATCCAGGCGGACCTAAGGAGATGCTGGTTAAAAACCCTTCACCAAACTGAGTGTCCTGCCCATCTGAACATGCTGGCAATGGGCTACATGGAGAAATAAATCTCAAGCAGAGCCAGCCGGCGGACTTGTACAACACGAGGAGGGAGGAGGACAGAGATGGGAGGACGGAGACAGGGTAGCACAGACGGGGGATGCAGCACCGCGTCGTCCCCAGCCACGCACGGACAGGGTGCCCGGGCTGGGTGCGAAGGTGCGGGCTGGTCCGATGGCAGCACCCGCAGGGACCCGGGTTCGGTGGTGCCGGACCCACCAGGTCCCCGAGGCAGTGCCGGTGTCTGCACGACGGGGTGGGAAGCACCCAGGAGAAACAAAACATTGGGATGAACACACACAGAACACAAAACCTAGCCGGCCCCGCTGAGTATTTTTCCATGGTTTGTCGCACCAGAAACACAGCAGAACCA